GGGCGGGGCCACAACCCGGTTTCCATGGAGAGAGGACTGGGGGTGGGCCGTTGCAGCGTGGGGACCGGTTCCATGGTGAAGAGGGGGCGGGGCCGTTACCAGGCGGGCGGGACCTGTTTCCTTGTAGATGTTGGCAGGCACAGGCCCGGTTTCCCGAAGATAGAGGGGGCGGGGGCGCCGTTGCAGGGGGCGGGTCCGGTTTCCATGGAGACGGGGCGGCCACAGCCCGGTTTCCATGGAGAGAGAGTGGTTAGGGCGCTGTGGCCAGGGGAGGGGGGTTTCCATGGAGACGGGGCGGGCCCACAGCCCGTTTCCATGGAGAGAGGTGTTGCGGGGCTGTGCCGGGGCGGGGCCCGTTTCCATGGAGCGGGGTGGGGCCACTTGGCACGGGTTCCATGATTGGGCAGGAGGAGGCGGGCTGTTGCCAAGGGGCGGGACCGTTTCCATGGAGAGGGGGCGGGGCCACATTCCCGGTTTCCATAGGAAAAGGCGGTGGGGGGGCCAGTGGCCGGGACTGAGGACCTGGGTGCAAAAACTGCAGAACCACCGAGTTCGCCTCCAAAACACACTCCAGGCGCGGGGCCGGGCGACCTGCTTCACCGGGCGGTGACCGAGGGCTGCCCGGAGGCGGCGCGCGGACATCATCGCTCAGAAGAAAACGTCTTGCTCGCGCCCGTCGTCCCCGCACTCCGGGACGGCGAGGGGGGACACGGTCGAGTCGGGAGTTCGAAACCCAGCCCTGAGCAAGAGCGGGACCCCGTCTCTTGTTTTTTACATAAATAGAAGAGAATTAATGGCCAATAAATATATATAGAAAAAACGAGCCGGGCGTGGTGGCGCATGCCTGTAGCCAGCTACTCGGAGAGAGGAGGCGAGCAGGGGCTCGGTGGGCCAGGAGTCGGAAGGCTGCGTGAGCGAGCTGACGCCACGGCCGCTCACCGGGCAACCGGGCGACAGAGCCGACTCTGTCTAGGGGAAAGAAAAAAGAAAAAAGAATTTTATTTGGTGTGTTTTTATTTATTTATCTATTTATTTTTTCTTCATTAATTTTTGTCTTTATCTTTCTTTTTTCTTTTCTTGATTTGGGTTTAAGGAATATGGAAAAAAGGAATTTGTTTCTTTTTATTTTATTGTATTATTTTTTTTTTGTTTTGAATTTTCTTAAAGTCATTAACAATCCTTTTTTCAGTTTTTTATTTTTTTTTTTACTCTAACACCTTTCATCATCCATTCGCAGAAAAGAGAATTTAGAAGATTCACCTTCTGATCTGATGTGATTGTAAAGCACTGTAAGGAAAAGAAAAAACAATTATTTTTGTCTATATATTATTATATTATAATATAATATATATATATATATATTATTATATTTATTTTGATTTATTATGTATGTCTATATATATATATATTTATTATATTTATTATCTACTTATATAACTTATATAATATATATTATTGTAATTATATATTATATTTCTTTATATTATCATAAATAAAAATATATTATATAATTAGGTTATTTATATAAAATAATAAATATATAATTAATTAATTATATATTATTTTAATATATTATATATAAAAAATATTAATTTATTATAAAAAAGAAAAAGGACACCTTCCTTACCAACTTTTATTTTTCTTTTTTTCCCATTCATTAGGGTAGAAATCATTAGCAAACTTTATCAAGAAAAAAAGTGACTATAATATAGCAACATTGGGTGAAATTTAACAAAAAAAAAGAAAGAAAATTAAAAAAATATTGAAAATTAAAAACTTAAAAAGAAAGAAAAATGAGAGTAAAAAATAAATTAAATTTTTATATTTTATATAAATAAAACAGAAGTGACTCCACAAGCCATGATTTTTGGACGAGAAGAAAGAAGTTAAATAATTATTTTTAAATAGTATAAAATTTAAAAATATCAAAGAAAAAAAATTTTAAAAAAAACCAGAAGTGACCAGTTTTGAAATAAGTTTCCCTGGAGGCCCAGGGACAGGCAGGAATTAAAAACTTAAAAAGAAGAAAAAATGAGAGTAAAAAATCAATTAAATGTTCTATATATTATTATAAAATAGAATATAAATTATATATTTTATTATATTATATAAATAAAAAATTTATATAAATAAATAAAATATATATTTATAAAATAAAAATATTTAAAAATAAAATTAAAACATATATAAATGTATATTTGTATAAAAAATATATAAAAATTTATATATATTTGTATAAATATAAAAACATATATAAATGTATATTTGAATAAATAATTTAAATTATATAGTATTGTATAATAAACATAAAACTATATAATTATATTTGTATAAAAATATATTAAAACTTATATATATTTGTATAAATAAATAAAATATTAAAATGTATATTTGTATAAATAAATTATATAAAAAATTTTGATATATATTGTAATAAATTAAAATAAAACATTATAAATGTGATATTGTGTATAAGTAAATATATAAAATTATATATATTTGTATAAATAAAAACCATATTTATATAAATAAAATAAACATATATAATGTAATTTTATAAATAAATATATAAAAAATTTATATATATTTGTATAAATAAAAAAAATTAAATATTTATATAAATAAAACAGAAGTGACTCCACAGGCCGTGATTTTTGGAAGCGAAGAAAGAAGTTAAATAAACATTTTGAAATAGCATAAAATTAAAAAATATCAAAGAAAAAAAATTTTTGAAAAAAAAAACCCAGAAGTGACCAGATTTGAAACAAGTTTCCCTAGCGGCCCAGGGGCAGGCAGGGAGGTGACAACGTCACCCTGCCTGGTCTGACCCAGGGACCCTGAGCACTTCTGGGAGAGCCCGTCCCAGTCCCTCTCCCTGGTCTCGGGTTCGAATCCCCACATCTGCACAAATTCCTTCATCTTTTCCGGGCGACAGCCCCAGATTTGGGGACTGTCACTCCACAGCTACCGTCCTCAGGGTTGAGGCCGGGCCCACCGCCCCTGTCTGTCCCTCAAAGCCACCATCCCACATCCCAGCAGGCAGGTGCGAAGGCCACAGGAGGGTTGGGGTGCCTTGATGTCCCCTCAAGACCGCTGAAAAGTCCCCTTGTTTACCCATGGCTCACGCCTGGCATCCCAGCACTCTGGGAGGAGGCCGAGGAGGGAGGATCGCCCGAGGTCAGGAGTTCGAAACCAGCCTGAGCAAGAGCGAGACCCCGTCTCTACTATAAATAGAAAGAAATTAATTGGCCAACTAATAATAAATAATAATAATAATAAATTAGCCAGGTGTAGTGAGGCATGCCTGTAGTCCCAGCTACCCGGGAGGGAGGCCGAGGCAGGAGGATCGCTCGAGGTCAGGAGTTAGAGGCCAGCCTGAGCCCAAGAGCCAGACCCCATCTCTACTAAAAATAGAAGTTAATTGGCCAACTAAAATTATATTAAAAAAACGAGCCGGGCGTGGTGGCGCGTGCCTGTGGTCCCAGCTACCAGAAGGAGCGAGCAGTGAGCTCGCTGGAGCCAGGAGTGGAGGCTGCTGTGAGCGAGGCTGACGCCACGGCACTCACTCCGCCGGCGACAGAGCGAGACTCTGTCTCAAAAAATACAAAATAAAAAACCTGTCCTCAAGTCCCAGGCTGGCCTCCACAGGGGAAGGGAGGCCCCAGCCCCATTCAGGCCTCCACAATGGACATTTGCATCTCAAAGGCGACAGTCCCCTCAGTCCCCTCTGGCCAATGTCCCTTTGTCTCCCCTTAAATGCTGAAAGCCACTTAAAGCCCCTCTATTTTTTTTTTTTTTTGGAGACAGAGTCTCGCTCTGTCGCCCGGGCTACAGTGAGTGCCGTGGCGTCAGCCTCAAAGTCCGAGGCTCAAGCGATCCTCCTGCCTCGGCCTCCCTCCCGAGTAGCTGGGACTCCAGGCATGCGCCACCACGCCCGGCTCCTTTTTTCTATATACTTTTAGTTGTCCAATTAATGTCTATTTTTAGTAGAGACGGGGTCTCGCTCTTGGGCTCTAGCTGGTCTCTAATTCCTGACCTCGAGCGAGCCTCCTGCCTCGGCCTCCCTCCTGAGTAGCTGGGACTACAGGCGTGCGCCACCACGCCCGGCTCGTTTTTTCTATACATATTTTTAGTTGTCTGGCTAATTTGTTTGTATTTTTAGTAGAGACGGGGTCTCGCTCTTGCTCAGGCTGGCCTCCAACTCCTGACCTCCAGCGATCCTCCCGCCTCGGCCTCCCACACTGCTAGGGTTACAATTTTTCTATGTAGTTTTAAGTGGCCAATTAATTTCTTTGTATGTTTTTAGTTGAGACGGGGTCTGGCTCTTGCTCAGGCTGGCCTCCAACTCCTGACCTCCAGCGATCCTCCCTCCTGGCCTCCCAGAGTGCTGGGGTGACAGGCGTGAGCCTCCGCTCCCCTTAATTTTTTATATATATATATATAGTAGATATATTTAAGAGCCACTCATTTCTTTCTATTTTTTTTTTCAGTAGAGACGGGGTCTCGCTCTTGCTCAGGCTGGCCTCCAACTCCTGACCTCCAGCGATCCTCCCTCCTGGGCCTCCTCCCAGAGTGCTGGGATTATATGCGTGAGCCTCCACCGCGCCCGGCCCTCCAAGTCCCCTTCATTGACATTTAGTCCCCACCCTGGTCCCACCAGCCAGGCCCCGGGAGGGACCCCGCAGTTAAAATCCATTTCTGGAGGCCGGGAGACTCAAACTCCTCCCTCGCCCCGGGGTCCCCCCCTAACCCAGGCACCACCTCCAGGGAGGGGGTGGATTTACACTCCTGGCCTCCACCCTGGCCTCCGCCACCGGCCTCCCCTTAACTCCCCGTCCCCAGAGAGGCCGGCCTCAACTCCTCTGAGTCTCCTCTCTCTTTTCTTCCCGTCCGCGGGCAGTTCTTGGGCTCTAGGCGGCCTCCGAAACGCGTCCGGAGGCTGGGCCTCTACCCGGGATGAGATGCAGCGCTTGGGGATGAGATGGGGGCCTGTAGAGGCTGGAAAAAAAAACAACCAAAAAACAAAAAAAACGGCCTCCAGGAAGCACAAATCCGAAAAGCCAGGCGGCTCGGACCTGGAGGCTGCGGTTCTCAACTCGGTCCGCGGAGGAGGCTATAAAAGCGCGGGGCAGGGGGCGCCAGCCTCGCCAGAGCGAAGGAGCGAGGCCCGGGAGGTGACATTGTCTCTCTCTCTCTCTTTCCGTTCCCTCCCTCCCCCAAAAAATCCTCCCTTTTTCAGCCTCTTTTGCACCCCAGGCACTCGCGAGCGCGCTTTTGCAACTGCTCCGGCTCGGGCCTCCCTCCCGGGCCTCCACCTCCGTCCCTCTCCGTTTCCCCACCGGTGGCGTCCAGACCCGCGCTTTACCCCTAACCCTGCCGCCCGTCCCCAGGCCCGGCCGCGGCCGCTCCCGCCCGGAGCCGCCGCGGGCCTCCAGTCCCCCCTTGTCCCCCCGGCCTCCACTTTTCCTCTTCCCGGCGCGGCCTCCGGGCCTCCGCGCGCCGCCGGCCTCCAACCCGCTGGCCACCATGTCGGTGGAGCTGGAGGAGGCCCTGCCTCCCACCGCGGGCGAGGGAGGCCTCCCCGGGAAGGCGTCTCGGGGCGCGGGGAGTGGAGGCCCGGGGAGTGGAGGCCCGGCCTCGAAGGGCAGCAGCAGCAGCAGCAAGAAGAAGAAGAAGAAGACGAAGAAGAAGAACCAGCCTGGCAAGTACAGCAGGCTGGTGGTGGAGACCATCCGGAGGCTGGCGGAGCGTGGAGGCTCGTCGCTGGCCCGCGTCTACGCGGAGGCCCGCAAGGTGCCGTGGTTCGACCAGCAGAACGGCCGCACCTACCTCAAGTACTCCATCAGGGCCCTGGTGCAGAACGACACGCTCCTGCAGGTCAAGGGCACCGGCGCCAACGGCTCCTTCAAGCTCAACCGCAAGAAAGTGGAGGCCGGGGGCGGAGGCTGCGGCGTCGGTGGCGAGGCTCCCGGGGCGCCCAAGCAAAAGAAGAAGAAGGCGGCGGAAAAGGAGGCCGCCTCCAGCAGCAGCAGCAGCCTCCGGAGGGGCAAGCAGCGGCAGCCTGCACCCGCGGGGAGGCTTTCCCACACCAGGAAGAACAGCAAGGACAAAGGTGGGAGAGCCTCCGCCGCCAAGGTGAAGAAGGCCGCCAAGCCCAGCCTCCTCCCCAAAGTGCACAAGGGGCGCAAGTGAGCGCGGAGCCGCCCCCACACACCCCAAAAAACAAACAAAAAAAATCTGGTTTGTGTT